AACTTTGCTTTATCGACAATCCCACGATACAATGTGATATGGGAAAATGTCTTGCCTTTCTTTAAATTCATACCTGTCCTGCGATCCAAAGACATTCGTGGCAATGTGGCGTAGCGGTTAACGTGTCGAGATTACACGCTGCACTGTGACGGTTCGTGTTTCAACGGGCGTGTTGATAAGACCTAGGCGAGATCAAAATTGGAGTTCATCCCAGCCGGGATGAGAGTACCTTTTGGGAAAGCAAGACTATGCCAAATCCAATGGAAACATCAGCTCTACTCATATCATTGCAGAAAAATGCAGCTACAAATACCCTATTCACCTTAAGTAAAACTGTGGGAACACATCTCATATACTCATTAATCTGTCCTAGTTCTGAAGATGTCTGTGTCTGAGAATGTCCATTAAGTCCTCTCCAGCCTGTCTGTCTGTGCGCCAACCAGAAGACGCACCTTTTCTCAACACAGTCGCCAGTGACCGGCTACGGTCGGTGCAGTTCCATCGGTGCCAGGCGAATTCACTCCGGCAGGCTTCCATGGAGGCGGCCACCCCTGCGTAGACACTGGCCATCAAACCGGGCATCTGGGCGCACAGCAATGCCTGTCGTCTGCTTAGCCCATGCAGCAGGAGGCAGTGGTTCGGTGAAGATACCGACCCGGCCGGCCCGGGCAAACGGCCCAGCCAAGACTGGCGCTGATGCAGCTCATACCTGACAGGAAGGGGGGACAAAAGTACCGAATTATGGAAAGGGAGCTGGGAAGCATGTAGGTCAATTGAGAATTGCAATATGAATTTGAGTGTATCTTCTGAGATAGCATGGTTGTAGTGACTTCATTTTGTTGTGACATGACTTTCCGTGAGACCATTTCATTAATGACTTCCCACCAATTTTTCCTTCGAAATGGAAAGTAATGTCACAATAAATCACCAGGAAATTCTTCGGAATCCAGTTTTTATTTACGCTTTCATTTTATGCCAGATGAAGAAATTCATAGGTCCATCTCACCGGAAGACGACGGATGATTCCTTTTGTCATGCGGTTATTGGATATCATCCACGATGTACATATCCACGAGACATGAAGTCCATGAGGCATTTTATCTCGTTTCAGGTGAAACTGGGCTCAGCTCTTCTTCATCACAGCAGAAGACTTGCTGTTAACTGGAAGCTTTTGCAAGAAATAGTTCCAGCTCTAATAATTTGCTTCACATGACGAGAGAGAGCCCAGCCCATTTACATCCTAACCGGAGGAGGATGTCTTGCGTACTTTATCGACTTGAATATTGAGGCAATAGCAAACTCCTGCAGAACAACGAGAATCAGCCTTGGTATTTTGGTGAAATCACCCTTCCGTCAGGCACTGTTATATGAAATGCTGCTCACAAAAACTTCTTGATAGTAAACTGACTCACAGTAGATAACAAGGAATGAAT